AATTTAGCTCTATAATGTAGTATTTTTTCACCACCTTTTATAGGCATAAAATAGATACACTATAATGCCAATGTTGGATTCTCATTTGGTTTTGTGGACAAGCATTCACATTTGCCAGGCAGATTTGTTCAATCTGGATGAGTTTATGAAAAGAAACAACTGATTATTTAATGTGCAGGGTGCTATCTAAAGAAAAAGATGGGCCATTTAGTGCTTTCCGTTGGTTTGAATTCCAGGGTAAACCCAGTTTTGAAGCACTTTCTGTATTATTAAACAAAATGAAAAGGTGTTTACTTATCCATGGGTTTTATTAAAATCTTTCAATAGAACTCATAAAAAAATCCAAAACTTTAACGATCAAACAATGGATGGAAGGTTGGAAATTCAAAATAATCAATTTTGAAAAGACCTTAGTTTCCAAAATGTTTTATTCTATCTTTTAAACAATGAAATATGGCATAAAGAGAACAGAAACATCTGTAATTACTTTATTTTCATCTTTATCCAAATCAGGAAACATTTTTGAATTATACGCTATGCTTTGTGTAGGAACATTTGGTACCTTTCTATGGCCTAAAGTTGGGATTTTTATATTACTCCTTACAGAAGTATTCTCACTCCTTGAACCTTTTAACTTTTTTGTTACCTTACAACCACAAAATTAAAGGAACTTTTTTCGTTTTGTTCTTGTTCTGTCTTTAGCTCTATCATATTAACTGATCAGTTTCTTTGTTCCTATGCTTCCCCATAGCATGATTCTGTCACTTTATTTCTCATTGGGGATGGGGTGTTCTGAAAATACCAGTTTTGTGGTATAAAGAATAATTAGTATCAACAAAATCCTAATGGGAGCCTGCTGGCTGCTTTTCTGTTGTGCTCTTTGTCCGGGCTGTCAGTGTAGACATGGACAGGTCTTGTACAGGAAAGGCTACAGGCCCATGTTTAAAGGAATAGTACACCCAAAACATGATTAGCCTTCATTTTCTACTCACCCCCATGCTGAACAACACTCTGGAGTACTTTTTT